GGGGGGGGGGGCTGCATCTCTCCTGAGAACCGTGTGCTTTTCATCCATCAGGAAAAGGATACCTAAGCAGCCGTGCTCCCATCAAAAGGGGGCTGCACACAAGCCCCCGAGTACAATATTTAGTTTCACTCCAAAGCACGCACACACTTATCACCTTTGTGCCAACCTGAAATGGACACTTATACGACACTGTGGCTCTGAGGTCCGAACCACAATGATTTATCTCCCTGAAAACAGGGCAAGTCTTTTTTTTTTTTTTTAAGTTGTTTTCATTGGGCCTTCTTTACAGGAAAATAATCAACAATAGGTTGCCTATGGATCTCGTGTGGCCGATTGATCAAGACGGAGCAGTGCTGGTTTGTTTTTCAGAGCCGGTGTTTGAGTTTGTGCTTGGGGGAGATCCAGACAGATTAGCGAGGGTGACGGGGAACGCTGGAGAAGCCAGCCAGGCCTGGAGGTGCAGCTGGCATTGCGAGCCACTGCTTCCTTTTCTCTGTGTTGGCCCACAGACTTCCTTCAGCCACTGTTTAATCAGTGATTAAGACCGCTTTAGATGGCTCGCTCATCTCGTGTGACAGTACATGTCGGGTGGAAGGATTGCCCCGTCTAATGCGGTCTTCGGACAATGGGAGTGTAATCGTGAAAAGAAGTGACTGATTGTTTTTCCAGTAGATTTCCCCCCCCCCCTTTCATGTGAAATGTTGTTGTTATGGTATCTGCCTCTGTCCATTAGCAATGTGCCCGTGAGGTACATGCCATGAAAAGGGGAGGGTGAGAGCTTTGATGTGGTCTTTGCTGACTGGGAAAGGGTACACAAGTCTTCATCATCACATGTGTGAAGTGGTCTTGAGGTTTGGCTGTCGCTGTCAGAGGGCCATCTGGTGTTTTGGTGAAAGATGTGAGGGGGTTTCTACCTGCAGAGGTATATGGTAGGGAGGGGAGTATTGTTTAATGTTTCCTCTGTTTAAAGAGCAGATTTATGATCCTGGTGTCGCTTCACTTGGAACTCATTTTGTTGACTGAATTGATTGATTGACTGATTCACACTGTTTGAAGGAAAGCAGTCCATGCTTTGAATAATCATTGGAAATGTTTAGGGCTGCAGCTAACGATTATATCAATTAATCTTCCACTTTTCCTGATGATCCATTCGAGAATAGTTTACATGAGCCCAATTTGTTGTCTTCAGCTGTGTCGCAGTGACAGAAAAACATTCAGCATACTTGTGCTGGTACCAGTTCTCCAGAGGCCAAGCCGAGGTCCTCGGATGTTTTGTTTCGTCTGACCAACAGTCCAAAAGATATTTGGTGTACAATGATTTAAAACACAAAAAAAGCTGACAATACTCACATTTGAGAAGCTGAGAGCAAAGAATGTTTGGCTTTTCTATTTTTTTTAATTACTAAAAGATTACTCAATTATTAAAGTTGTTGCTGACTAATTGACATTGTGTTTTTGTATTCGTTTTGTTTTTTTCAGGGGTTTGACTAACGAACCTGCTTTTTGTGCTTTTCTGTAGAGAAAGTTCGTGAGATTCAGGAGAAACTTGAAGCCTTCATAGAAGCTCTTCACAAGGAAAAATAAGACAAGCAGGTATTTGTCTCTGTGCTGTATGTTGAAACTTACCAATTGTTAAATAATAGTAAGATTCTAAATAAGTACTGGCACTGGGAAAATGGTAACTGTGCACTGTGTGTAAATATAATCTGTTGTTCCTTCTTTCCTTTGCAGAACTATTGAAAGTAAATGTACGGATCCCAACAGAGAAATGCACTGAACAAAGAAGAGAGAATCTGTAAATCACCGTCATCACATCCTGACCTTGGCCACACCGCTCACTCATCTGATTTTAATACCCGCGTCCTGGCTACCTGTCCCCCCCTTTGAAGCTGAGGAAAAGATGGACCTGAACTGAAGGAAACAGTTTTCAAGCTTTATCTTTGATTTTCCTTTTTTTTTTTCCTCTTGCAAACTGTCCTCGGTCCAGAGGGGAGATCAGGAGGGAAAAGAGAAGCATGCACAGTGTTGTCAGACATCTAGCCTCTCATTTTCAATAAATGAGGACTGTGTACATGTTTTGTTTTTTTCCAGCTGATGGTGTCTGTGTACATGTGAGTAGAAGAGTTTGTGTCCTCACTGATGTCACCTTTGGCGCTGTTCCTGATGGGTGAAACAGCCTTGAATTGAATCCCTTTATCTCGCCTGGTGCTCCTAAAATACGCCATGACACTTACCTGGTACACAAGAATTCTCCTATATTTAACATTTACCGGTTCTTTTTTTGTTGCACTTAAGTTATCCCTCCAAGCAGCAGCTATATATTTATGCTCCATGTACCCCTAAATAAGAGCAGCAGATGTCCTCATAAACATAAGAGTAGAAAGTAGCTTTAATATCCAGCTTCCCTCTCATCAACTCTCCCCATTGTAACTCCACAACAACCACTCATCAACCGGACACGACCAGCTCTGAACGTGTCGGAAACAATAGTATGTATAGATTTATTTCTTTTTATTTTTGATCTAATGGGGTTATATTTGACAATGGTTTGTTAATATGTCTGCCAAATGCACATGATGTCCTGGTCATGCCACCTTTTTGTTTCTGTATTTGTCTCGTGTTTGTGATGTTTGCACTTCCATCATTGTACATTTCCTCTATACTCTCCCCGTGTTGTAGCTAAGAGATAATAATACTGCTTCCAAAGGAAAAACAAATGGGACACCCTCTTGATAGGTTTACAAATGTAATTAAACATAAATTCAGGATGCTTCTAGATTGTTGAGACACATTATTAAACTAAGAGCAGCAGTTTTTCAACTGATTGTGATGATGTATTTTAACATATTACATTGTTATATAATGTCTAAGGTTAAAGATGTCATTTCTCAATAGCCACATTGCATCATCAGTTAAAGATGTCATAATAACAGTGTAAAAGTAAATTATCAACCAGTTTAAACCTACATTTGGTTTTATTTTCAAAAGCTATGACACTGTCCGTTGTTCCTCTCAATGTCTCCACTTCAGACCTGGGTTTAAGTCTTTAGCGCACTAGTATCCAGTCCATGGTGGTCCAGTGACGCAGGGGAAGGTGGGTTATCCCGATGCGTTTCCAATCCGCACCAGGTTTGATGGTTTGGCAGGACAGTTATGTCTATGTACGTACATGTGCACTTGCACGTATCTACTTTTCCTCTCCTTTCTGTGATGATGGTCATTAAGATCATATGCCTCTTGCTGCTTGGATTGGGGGGGGGGGAATTGTAAATGAACAGAAGTTATCGTCAAAGTTAAGAGAAGGGTAAATATCTAACATGCTGGAAGGTCATTTTAAACTGAAATGGTATACTTTTGTCAGCTCACTGATTCTTCTACACGTCACTGTCCAGGGCTGGATGTTGCCGCACTGCTCCTAATATTGTGCTTTTTACTCATTCTCATCTTGAACTCCTTCTCTCACATCCACCTCCATCATTGGGACACTTGTGACTCTTTCCATCACCCACCTAGACAGCCACTCACTCTTCCTAGCTTGAAAAACTGTCTGCTTTGACCGAAGGTGGGGTATTAGACTGCGTAAAACCTGTGTGTGTGTGTGCGCGTGTGTGTGTGTGTGTGTGTGTGTGTGTGTGTGTGTGTGTGTGTGTGTGCGCGCGCGCGCGCTCTGTACAGGTAAAGCCATAGAGCTACTATAATGTACAGCACGTGTATGCAGAGTGAACAACTTGTGTAACAAAATCCACGAGTTTGTTCAAAAAAATGTTTTATGTTGTAGAAAGTAATGTTTGCATGGTGTACCCCATCAGATGTGCTTTATTTATTTAATTTGTGGTTCAAAGAGAAAAATAAAGTTGACAAATGCAAAATGACCTTTTCCATGTTGTCATCTTGTCCAGGCCGTGTGAAACATATTTTATAGTTTCATTGAACAATGTCCATTTGCCTGAACCTTTAGCCAATGAGAACACTCAAATAATATGAAGAAAGTTGACAAAACAATCTCATCGCAAACTTTATTTAGTCGTTTTGTGGAGCTTTCGACGATGTATGCTCTTCATCAGCAAATGAGTGAGTTTACCCAGCTATCATAGAAATGTTTTTTTTTTTTTTTCTTATGTCACCCTAAAAGTGGAGATTCAAAGCTCATTCTTGACCTAGACAACGGTTGACAAAACAATCACCGTTTTCAACTTTAAAGGCTCAGAATCTACTTTTCCATGAACCAAGCTAATTCCATCCACTGATGGAGATCATGTTCTGTGATTGAAATGACCAAAACAACTAAATGCACCTTGTGTTAACATTGTTTTTTCAACTAATGTTTCCAAGTCGAGAATGACCATTGAAACTCCAAAGAATGAATCTACAGTCGTTCTAGCGGCTCTGGGGGGCTGTGCTTAAAGCCTGCTTTGAGCTAAATGCTATGGCATGGTATGACAGTGGTCTTACCTGCTAACAACCAGCATGTTGATTAGCAATAAACACAAAGTACAGCTGGTGGGAATTCGTTTTGCAGGTATTTGGTCATAAAACAAAGTATTGGACACATTTTCAAATGTGGACCTCTTGATACCGCTAGAGGAACGCTTCAGTGATCACCAAATCTTGCCAGTCATCACTTGTCATCTGTTGACAGTGAATGTCTGCAACATTTCATGGCAATCCATCCAATAGATGTTTAGTTAAATAGAAACCTGGCATGTTAAAGACCAACTTTGATGCATTGTTTCACTCTTATCTTTGGAGAGTTGTGTTGCATGAATGTGTGTTTCCATAATATAATCTGCTGCTGTCCTACAGCTGGTTGCATCTGGATGCAGTGACCTTTGTGCTGATGTGATGAGGCCTCTGGTTCAGGTCTGGACAAACCTTCAGAGTATTTAACTCTGCAGGCTGTTATCTCAACCCTGAGCAGGCTGAAGACACGTTGCAGCCTGAGGCAGCAGCTCGGGAGAGGCAGCTGAGGGCCTGACTGATTAATAAGTCAGAGTCCAGAGGTCCTCCACTCCTGGGCATCCTCTCTTCTTTCACAAGAGCCTGTTTGTTACTCCATCTCCACATTGCTCAAAGGGAAGCGCAGTGGGGAGGGGTGGATGTAGAGGGGGAAGGCCTCATCCTCACTACCATCACCTGAGGCTTTACACACGGAGATGACTGCCTAACGTCAACTTTCTATTTTCTGTGTGGCTATTATATTCCCCTGTTTTCTAAAAAACAAGGGGAAAAAGAGGAAGAAAAAAAAAGCCTAATGAGTTTGTAGCAGCCGTGAAAAGAAAGGGGGAAAAGTCAACCTCCAGCAAAAGGCCTTTGTGCTATCAGATAGCCACGTTCTGGGAGGAGGGAGGACGGCCGGGACACACTATACACCATTAGCATCTGCAAAGGCCGTCACGTTGACTAATAGCCAGTGCCACAACGGCACAGTGGTTCAGTTTGTGTTTTCCCTCAATCCCCATTATGTTGGTGACACAAAAGCAGCCGGGCCAGACTTTTCAAATGTGCCACAGCAGCGGACGTGCACAAAGCTTCATTTCTAGTCTTTCTTAAGAAAAAGAAAGGGCCGATCTTGTTGCTTCGTTTTTTTTTTTAAATCCCCCACCTCATCACACACACACATTCTGGGTCTTTTGGCAGGGGGGTGTGGCGGGTCGGTATATGATGAAAACGTTGAATAAGTCTTAGAAAAGGGCAATAAATTGTGGGGATGGGCGGTTTTTGTCAGTAGCAGCAGTGTTAGCATTTGTTTGCCTTCTTGTTGGCGACACTGGCTTTGTTCTCGTGTTTCTGTCCCCTCTGTTATCGAGCTGTTTGTTGAGGTTGTGGGAGACACAGAGATTCGTGGCCGTCGACTGACGTCGACAAATAGGCTGGTTGCACAGCTGCTTTAAAGCATCCTCAGGTGGGCATTTACCAAAAGTACAGTGGTTTAAGAAGTGATGTGCCAACTTTAAGGAAATCTGAATCTATTAAGCTCTAAAAGCAGATCATCCAATGTAGCCAATTGTTTGTGAATTCAGACTTCGACGGATATAATTGATTAAAAACATATTTGTGTCCGACATGAACACAATATTTTCTGCCAAAGTTCAAAATGTTTTCGAGATATTTTTTGTATTTTGTGTTTTGTCTGAGGTCAGCTTCAGGTGGATAAAGGTGATGTCACGAATTTCTGTGCACCAGTCATTCATCAGTTTAGCATTTTTTTGTGTTTTCATAAATAATAATGTTATTTTCCTAAATTGAATTATTATTGCTGCATATTTTGTACATTTCAAGGTGTGTAGGATTTTGTGGCATATAGCAGTGAGGTTGCAGATTGCAACCAACTACATATTTCTCATGTTTTATATTACTTTGTTTTATATTACTTCAGCCAACAAGGGCAGATAAATACAGTGGATGTAAATCTAACACTTTGCACCCCGGGAGACAAACTGCCACTGTTGACTCACCACTGATGAATCTTATCAGAGGCTTGTTGGAGCAACAGGCTTCCTTCTCCGTTTCAGCCAACAACACATTCTACTGTCCCCGGGGCCCGCTGCTTTCTGCCCCGCAGAGAATAGTGTCACAATTGGCCTTTGTGTTCATTATGTTAGAGGCATCTTCCCATTGCGCTGTGGGGTCCATTCCAATGCAGAATTGGGCCCATGGGGATTTTAGCCAAGTCACAGAGGTCAGTGACCCTTCTTGTCACACCCCCAACACACACACACACACATAGAGAGAGCCCTGTTCTTATTCTGTGTGAGCTATAAATTATGGCAGCACTCAGTGCTTCAATTTTAAGATTGAAGGAGGCTTGACCGCGTGAATCCTGTGGTGGTCCTGTATCTTTATATATATATGTGTGTGTGTGTGTGTGTTTCCACAGGGGTGGCCGGGCAGAGGACCACTGCATGTTCTCACCATTCAAGTCTGACGTCCACCCTGAAAGAATCCATAAAATGACCTCATCGTCGTCTCATGGCACGGGACGTCATAAATGAATCAGCCCATTGTGGAGGGAAACAGCCTCCATTAATACATCCCTGATGGTGGATCTAGATCTTCCTATTAATCCCACAATATGCAGGATGTCCACTCACACACGGGGTCGCCCGCCACACAACAGAAAAAAAACAAACACAAGCGCTGGCCTGTCATCAAACCGCTGCATAAAATACCACATCCAAGATTTACCCTCAAATCTGAATCACTGTTTGGATATTTATGTGAACAGGCAAAATGTGCATGATGAAGCTATTCTTTACTTAAACACCTGAACTACTAAATTAGATCCCAATCCTAGAAAACATGACTTCTATTATATTAATACATAAATAAAGAACTGCATACTGACTATAAATTACGACAATAACATTTTATTGACAAAATAGACAATGTTTCATTCTGATGGATATCTTCCTCAAGCAGAAATATTGTCTGGTGTCAGTAAAATGTTGACGTAGACAGTGTGCATGATCTTTCCTATATCAGTTGTCCCATTAGGTGGCATCTCCAACAAACCTCTCCCTCAATACGTTCATAACAAAGAGAAGGAAATCTTTATTTTCATTACTCAAATCCAATTTTATCAGTGATGCCACAACCATAACTAAATGTGACAACATTCACCTGCAACAGCCGTTATTTCTGCAGCTCACACCCAATTAGTTAAACTGGTGTTAGCACACAGAACTAAGCCCAAATGAAAAAACAAAGCCAAATAGCTGATTTAATTATAATTTGGTTAAACATATCAATGTCGTCAAAGTCACTGTTGCTGAAATGTGCTGGAGACAAGCAAGACAAATGTAGGTACTAAAAGAACAGAGCCCGTGGCGTGAACGCTTCCATAAAGACTGTGGAACTTAGAGCATTTCAGTTTAAGCCACGCCGGACTCCCCAAGATGACAAGTAAGGAAAGTGTGACTTGAGTGATAAAATGCTGAAACACTGGGTGAAGAAATGAAAGAGATGTGTGTGTAACAACAGAGGGGTGGGAACTTTCCTCTGCAGAATGGATGCAAAGTTGCCATGGAAAAACTGATCGTTGCACAAACTGTTTCTTAATCGAGTGGAGGCCTTAGTGAGTGGGAGGGACGCCGAGTTTTTAGTACAAGAAGCGGCTCTGGGTTTGCATGGACTTAGTGGGATTATGTGAGCATTCATGGCAACCAGTGAGGCCAGCAGGTGAGGTCTGGGCTCAGCTGCCTTAGCCTTTAGGTAAACACAGAGAAGGGTTGCCAGATCTGGCTGTGTTGCCAGGCTGAAATTGTATCTGTCCACACTACTTACGTCAGTCAGGCTGATCTGTCTCCTCCTGCGGAGTGGCGCTGACAGGGGGCTGCACTTGTTGTCGGATGGGGGACGCTGAGGACCGGCTTTCATCGTCTAAGTGCCACAGTGAGGTCGGACCAAAAAACGGTCTGGTGACATTACTTGACTGGCCATCAATAGTATCTTAGCAGGCGCTAAAACCAAAAGCAAACACACAGTGAGCCTGAGTGTGAATGTTTGAGGCGAGGCTCTGCAGCGTCAGGAGCATCGTGTGTTAAAGCAGAGCAGAAATGACAACGGGCCTTGAAAAGTGATCAAGTTGTGAGCTTTTGTCTCCTTTCAGGAAGTCCTGATCTGATTTTCCCCCCGAGCTTCTACTTTTAATTAGATCAGCATTTTCTTACACGCCTGTTTTACATGTGTATTTGGACTTAAACAGTAAAACAGGATTATCTAAATGAATAGTTTGGTGTTTTCCCAGAATACTTCGATTTCAACCTGCCTGACACCACATCAGATTAAGACAAGGGCATTGCCACGTTACATATTCAGTGTTGTCAGGAATTCTTGCCCATTTGCTTTACACACAAACACTGTTATTCTTTCA